AGGAAAAGCTAGCAGCACCCACACAGCTGCTCCAGGGACAATCCAGACAGAGGGGGTTAAAAGTTCATTTGCAGAAGCAGAACAAAACCTTTAGCTAATTTACACATTACAGGAAGCCAAGCCCAAAAAACCCAGCGTACACCTACAGGGCTTTTTGTGGTGGTTTATAATTCTGCAGAATCTTGTATTAAAAACAAAAGCAGAGGAGTGAGAGGGAGGCAGAGCTGACAAGGGCAGGCACAGAGTCCTGCAGGGCTGTCTCGCCTCTGCGGAAGCATCACTGGCTCCTCCACCAAAACACCTGAGGGAGAGGAGAGCAAAGGGGAAACCAAAGGTGCTGCTGTTCCCCACGAGGCTCTGATAGCTCCAGCTCCAGAGCACAGATCATAGAATCATGGAACAACAGAATAGGTTGGGTTGGAAGGGACCTTAAAGCCCAACTCATGCCAACCAGGGAAAAAGGAAAAGGGGTAAAAGAGCACAGCATGAACCTGACCTAGAACAGGCAAGGCCCAGGCAGGATTCTCCCTGTCCTGCAAGGCAGCATGTGCCTACAGGGAGTCTCCTTCCACATCACCTCCCTTGTACTACCTACAGCAGCACCCAGATCCTTTGGGTCACTTGAACTCCAGGGCTTTGCCTGGATCCAGCACTGCCATGACCCAAAAGGAGCAGAAACAGGCACTGGGCATAAAAATGGCATTCCCAAAGGCAGCAAGGAGGACCACTGCCTGGCCCAGCCACAGCAGCTCAGACAGCTCCCCGTCTGCTCCTGGCAGCCAAACCAGGCGAGCAGCACACGAGAGCAGGGCACCTCAGAGGCCTCAGTGGCTAGTGGAAATTTCCAGAATGTCCTGGACAAGAATGACTTACTGGAAGCAATACATAAATCAAGCAAATGAATAGTTACCAGACAGCAGCATAAACAGCTGCCACGGGGATGAAATCAGACCTGCTGTGCCAAGAGGCGTCAGCCTCCTTGCCGGCTGCACCTTCGGGGGAAACCGGCAAAACAACACAAGGAAAAGCACATTCCTGGGGGAGCTGCCACCCCTGGCCCTGCACAGGTGCCCGTGGGGTCCTGGAGCTGCTGGGCACAGCGTGGTGAGCTCCAGAGCAGCTCCCGCAGGGTTCCGCGGCCCCGGGCGCGGCGCGGAGCTGCCCCACGCCGAGCACAACGAGCCCTGGCTGGATTTTGAGGCAGAAGACCTGGAGGAATTTTTTCTTCTCCTCCTTTGCCAGCAGTCCCTGGTTGAGCAGCGAGCCCTCTGGAACTCCGTGTCCAGCCCCAGAGAGGGTTTTGCTGGATCCCCATGAGCAGCTGCCCTGCAGAGCCCGTGGAAACCATCGCCCTGATAAACAGCAAACAATTTGTGCAGGAGATAACAATCGCTGTCATCTTGGTTAAAACACGTAAACTAGAAAACACTGCCACAGCAAAACCAAAGGGAACCAGCCGGTGTTGGCCAGGCCACAGCTGGGAGTGATTAGAGATAATTAATTCTGCTAAACACACGCACACTGAGCTCAGTGCAGCCCCCTCCACGGGCCTGACCTTGGCACGAGAGCTGTGGGTGTGTGGATCAGGGTTCTTCGGGGGCAGTGGCAGCAATGCCACCCCACAGAAGGGTCTGGGAGCCCCACAGAAGGGGTGTGAGCCTGGCACCATCTGTGCTGGAGAACCTGGACTCGCTGCCACAAGAACAAAGCAAAGCTCAGGTGTCAAATGATGGCCATGCAGGAAAAATAATTCCCTAAATGCTTGAAATATAATCAGAGTGAAATCCCCCTGGTCTGCACCTCCACAGCATTGACTCCTGGGTGAGAAAGTACATTACAAAAGAAGGAGACAGGGATGATATTGCAGTACCACTAACAAAAATGGCAATTTTCTGCAACCAGCTCCACTCCAGCAGCACTCCCTGGCACAGCAACCACCAGCCAGCAGCACCACAGGCACCTTGTTTCACTTTGACTTATTTGGCATTAAAACAAATTGGTTTAATCACAGAATCCCAGACTGGTTCAGGCTGGAAAGCTACAACAGGGATGGGGACAGCTCCTGCTCTCTGGGCCACAGTGAACAACTGCCCAGACATGTGGGCACGAGGCAGAAGGCAGCACAAATGGGCTTGGAGATGCAGTAAGAGGCAGAAATTGAAATAATTGTCCATCAAAATGCTCCTTGCCCTCTGCCCTGTCTGTGCCTGTTCCTGAGATTTGTCCTGTCCCTTCTCTGTGCCCCTCTCACTGCACCCCAATTCTGTGGCTCCCAGCTGCCATGGGACCCTCCACATGGGGAAGGGCACTGCTGAACCACCTCCAAGGCACTTATCCTGTCTGATACTGTGGTTAATTATTGCTATTTTTGAACATTTCAGCTTTCTTACCAGTTTTATTACTGCTAATAAAACTGCAGCTTCATCACATAAGGAGCCCCACATCCCTCATCAGTGCAGCAGAGCACGTACACCCCAAAAACACAGAAGTCAGAAACCACCCAAAACAGGCTCTTTCTTTACTTGACCGACTCAGCCCAAGTTCTGGTTTTAGTGTCAGAAATCTCCACAGCAAGACTGTGAGAAATATTTTTTTAGCTCATCTGATAAACATGCAAATCTTGATTATTCATACATTACTTAAAATAAAAAACCCAGACAGAAACAGATGAGACAAACCCCTCCAAGCAGTGCAGCCCAGCTTGGCAGGGCAGCCAGAGGCCCTTGGCTTTGCCCCTGCTGCCTGTGGTGCCCTGCCCTCAGCAGCACCAGACCCAGCTGGTCCCACCCGTCTGGAGCATCCCCCTGGGGCAGCCAGGCCCCTCTCTCCAAACATCTGCTGCAGATGTGAAGGTTTCTCTCCATTCTTGTCCTTAATCTGGCTCAGTGGCACTGCAGCCTCAAGCAGTTCTTTTAGAGAGTGATGGACACAAGCCCAGGCCCTGGCTGCCCCATGGGCACTCCTGGATCAGGGCAATGGGCACTGCTCCTGGATCAGGGCAATGGGCACTGCTCCTGGATCAGGGCACTGCTCCTGGATCAGGGCAATGGGCACTGCTCCTGGATCAGGGCAATGGGCACTGCTCCTGGATCAGGGCAATGGGCACTGCTCCTGGATCAGGGCAATGGGCACTGCTCCTGGATCTGAATGCTGCTCCTGGATCAGGGCACTGCTCCTGGATCAGGGTACTCTCCCTGGATCAGGGCACTGCTCCTGGATCAGGGCAATGGGCACTGCTCCTGGATCAGGGCAATGGGCACTGCTCCTGGATCAGGGCAATGGGCACTGCTGCTGGATCAGGGCACTGCTCCTGGATCAGGGCACTGCTCCTGGATCTGAATGCTGCTCCTGGATCAGGGCAAACCTCCTGGATCAGGGTACTCCCCGTGGATCAGGGCACTGCTCCTGGATCAGGGCAATGCTCCTGATCAAAATGCTGTTCCTGGATCAGAATGCTGCTCCTGATCACAGCAGGAGCTGCAGGACCAGCCCCACAGGGATGCTGTGAGCCCACACCTGGGGCTGGCTGTGCCTCAGCCTCCACAGCCCAGGATCTCCCCCAGGAATGGCACCAGGGCTGGAGAGCTCAGCAGGCTCTCGCTCCTCAGCTTCCTGCCCTTCTCTGAGATAATTTTTTTCCTATTAAATAACACTATGAGCTGTTTCTCTTCTTAAAATAGCACACACCACCACACACACTGCTTGTTTTGTTTGAATTCCTTCCCCACTAAAGCAGCACAAACCCCACTGTAAACCTGACTCCACATCTCTACTCCATCACCAGGTTTTTCCTTTAGATGGAAAACACTGAAGCAATTACAGATCCCCTGCACATCCGAAATCACAGAATCCCAGAATACTTTGGGTGGGAAGGGACCTTAAAGCTCACCCAGTTCCACTCTTTGCCACGGACAGGGACACCTCCCACTGTCCCAGGGTGCTCCAAGCCCCATCCACCCTGGCCTCAGACACTTCCAGGAATCCAGGGGCAGCCACAGCTTCTCTGGGCAATCCCATCTGGCTGATGGGTGCACCTGGAACCACAGGGCCTTGGCTTCAGGCTGTAAATGCAGAAGGTTTGAAACCAACACCTAAACCAGCCATTTGGTTTCTAACAGCCTTGCCAGGGACCCCATGGAGCAGACACATGACCTGGCAACAAGAAAACATCTGGAGTTGTGTTTAAGCCTATTTCAAGTATCATCTGTTATTTTTTCTTTTAAACAGATAACTTGGATTCTTCCAGATCTCCTCCTAAGCAGTTATCCCCTTAAGTCATTCCCCAGCTTTCCCAGTCCTGCCTCAGCCCTGCTGCTCCTGCAGCACTGGTGCAAACAGCAAGGGCAGGTCCAACCCTGCAGCCTTGAGGCTGCCACAAACACCTGATGATGCTTTCACTTCTAAAACACTAATCAAAGGTTTCCATGGGAACCTGCAGGAGCAGGAAGAAGATGGGAAATTACAGGTCAGCTCTACCACCGAAAGAAAAAAAATTATCCCATTCCTTCGCCCTCGCAAAGTTTCAAGGTAACACAAAAATATTGATTCATCAGGGTGCATAAAGGCAGCAAATACGCCCCAGAGCAGTCATTTGTTGCGCAAAGAAATCACTTTTAGTCCTTCAGTGGCAGGTTTGCTCTGAAACCACGTGAGGAGCTTCACCTCCGCTCTGCCTCCTGGACAGCCAAACCCATTCCAGGCCATCAAAAGCAACACAAGGTTCCCCGGAGTGAATGGGTTCCTGGTGCTGCTGAGGGGCTGGGGCTGGCTGGGCAGCTCCTGCCCCTCATCCCTCCCTCCCTCCCTCATCCCTCTCTCCCTCATCCCTCCCTCCCTCAGCCCCCCTCGCCCTCTCAGCCCTCGGTTCACTCACACACGCGTTTCCAGTTGCCAACCAGAAATGACTCAACACCACACACACACAAGGAAACTTTTCCACCACTATTAACTTTGAGAGGAAATGGAAAAAGGAGAGAAAAACACATCAGTCATAAACGTACTTTGCCAAATGGTTCATGAGCAAGTGCAGCATCTGCCTGTTTTTCTCCGGGAGCCGATGAACGAGGCTGTGGATCTCCGACACCCTGGACTCCTGATTCTCTAGTTCTGCATGGGGAATAGAAGATGATTTATCCCCACATTAGGGCGTTGTTATGGGAAGAGGCCTAACACACATCCCAGGGAGCTGCTCCATCCCACAGCAGGCACTGCAGATGCTGCAGCGAGCTGAGAGCAGACGCCACGTGAACAGCACGGTGAGCAGGGCAGGGCCGGCTGCAGCCAGAGCGATTCCAGGGATGGGAATATGGGCACATTCCCATGGTCAGTGTGCCCAGTGCAGGCCAGGCTGGTGCTCCACAGGCTGCTTGGGTCCATGGTGCTAAGTGGGGGCTGCTGGAGGAGGCCAGCACTGCCATGGCCATGGGACACATGGCCCTCCTGACATCCCACCCCCATATCCACAGAAAACCCCCTGCTCCCAGCAAAGCCCCTTCCCCTGGGCAGTGAAGGAAACGCAGTCCAGATGTGTGAAGCCCCTCAAACACTGTGGTGCAGTTCAACAGCAGCCTGCCCTGCTCCAGCCCTGCTCTGCTGGCCAGGACACAGCCCAGCAGCGTGCTGGGCAGGCAGCAGGGCAGGGGGGATTGCAGCCACTGGCAGTGAGCTCCTCTGTGGCAGCGGGGCCACAAACACCAACAAACTCACTCGCTGCTTTGATGAAGCTCCTTTGAAACTGGTACATCATCAGGGGCCCTGGGAGCATTCTGGAAGATAAAAAGGAAACAGGCACAAAACACATCTGAGGAACACAATCCACACTGAGAAAGCTTTGCCCCTACAATAAACTCAGCTCCATTTTGAAAAGGGCAGAATTAAGCAACACCAACTCTAATTAATTCCCCTCATCAGAAGGAGTAAGATCTATGCAAGGACCTTTGATTTATCCACCACTAAATTAATCTTTAATTTTAGCATTCCTTCAGTAACACAGCGTCAGTGCGTTACTGAGCCCATGATTTCCAAGTAAGTTTGAAAATAAATTGAGAAGATAAACAAGCCTAGTTATAAAACTTTCCCAATCCCCATTCCCATTGTCCCCTCCCACTGCTGCATCCCTTCAGAGGGACACACTGGTGCTGCCCACATTCCTCTTTGCTTAGCCAACAGTTCAGACTCTGGAGCAAAGGTTGCCAATCATGCAAAATTCTGTGATTTTCTAGGCTGAGATCCACCAGGCTAATTACACTTATCACCCTAATTGGATTTAGGCTCTCTCTTGTGCTCCCTCAAACACAACCCAGCACACAACAGCCTCTGACAGCAAGGAGCTGTGGTCACAACAGGTAGGAGCACGTTGTGGATAATGAGATGCTGCTGGCTGCCAACACCCAATCCTGTTGGGAAAATCCCCAGGATGATACTGGCTCGCCTGACACACAGAAATCAGAACTGCAATAAAGCTCAGCACCAGGTCTGGGAAAGCTCTTCAGCCCCTGCCCTTACACAGCACTGCCCTCCTCCTCTGCCACATGCTCAGAAGGTGGAAGTCCACTGGGAAAAGCTCAGGGAAAAGCTTAAATCAAGGCAGGGGATGCAAGAGTGAGCTTTTAAAATCATGTCTGTATAACATGTGCATCTGTCAGAGCTGAGTGTGTTCTCCAGATCCTACTCAATCATCTTGGAAAGCCAGGGGAAAGCCAGAATAAATTCCCTAAGAGCAGTTTCTGCTCTGTTTCTATACAAGTGCTGTTGTTAAGGGTCTGCAATAACAGGCAGTAAAATCCCAGGCCAGCACCAAACCCCTCCTGAAGCCAGGTGAGGCTTTTCTCCTTACCTCAGGTATGTTTTCAGTGCACTAGTAATGGTCTTGATCTCCCACTCTGCACAGATCTCTGTGTCTGTCTCTGTGGCTGTCTTGGGATCTATGGAAAAAGACAAAAAACCAGTAACTGAAGGAAACTGAAGGCAATTCCAGCTCAGCTGTGTGGGGAGACCATCACAGCCCATTTTATTTGCTATTCCCAGCTCTGGACACGTCTGCAGGGGTGTGGGGCTCATCACCCAGGACAGGCCAAACTCAGTGGCATGGGACAAGAGAAGGAAAAGGGAATCCTCCATCCCGAGCCAGGACAGGGCAGTGTGGCTTGGAGCATGCCAGGACACCGGGCACAGCAGCCCCAGGTGCTCAGTGACAGCAGTGACAGCCAGGCAAGACACAAGGGCCCAGGGACCCTCCTGCCCACAATGGCCAGCATCATCATCCTGCAGCCACCTCCCCACCCAGCCCTTGGCTGGCAACTACAGCCACAGCCACCTGCAGAGCCACCTGCAGAGCCCTGCAGAGCCCTGCAGAGACACCTGCACAGCCACCTGCAAAGCCCTGCAGAGCCACCTGCAGAGCCCTGCAGAGCCCTGCAGAGCCACCACCGGGCCAGTGCAAGTGGGCTCAGGCACACCACTGAGTCACACATGGTGACAGCTCCAAGCTGGGGCCAGGAGCACCAAACTGAGGCAAGGAGCACCAAACCAAGGCCAGGAGCACCAAACCAGGGCCAGAGCAGCCAACTAAGGCCAGGAGCACCAAACCAAGGCCAGGAACACCAAACCATGGCCAGGAACACCAAACCAAGGCCAGGAACACCCAACCATGGCCAGGAACACCAAACCAAGGCCAGGAGAACCAAACCAAGGCCAGGAACACCAAACCAAGGCCAGGAGCACCAAACCAAGGCCAGGAACACCAAACCAAGGCCAGGAACACCAAACTAAGGCCAGGAGCACCCAGCCAAGGCCGGGAGCACCAAACCACGGCCAGGAACACCCAACCAAGGCCAGGAACACCAAACCGAGGCCAGGAACACCAAACCAAGGCCAGGAACACCAAACCGAGGCCAGGAACACCAAACCAAGGCCAGGAACACCAAACCAAGGCCAGGAACACCAGCCAGGAGCACCAAACCAAGGCCACAGAAAGCCCAGCATGGAAGTGCCCCCTGTGCTGCTCTCTCCTGCCTGGATGCTGCTCCGATTGCTAACTCCATCCTGGAAACTCAGCCAGGATCCTGCTCCCAGCAGAAACCCAGGGAAGCCCCTCTGGGGGTCCCTGGTGTGGGTCCCAGCAGTGCCAAGTGTCCCTGGGGAGCCTGGGTGCCAGGGCTCCCACTGTCCCCAAGGGCCAGGGTGACACAGCCACAGCTGCTAACACCATCTGCTCCCACGGCTCAGCTCAGGGGATTTTTGCCTCTTCACAGCAACAATTAATGCACTTTTTGAGTTTTAAAGCCCCATGTAAGCATTGGGCAATTTTTAACCTACTTAAAAGAATGCTGTGAATAGAGTTCAGCTTTCCCTCAGGGCAAAGGGTTTATTTTAATTTAAAAAAACATCAAGAGGCGCTTGGAAAAGTAAATACATAAGAAATGCATATTCACACAAAGACCATGTGTGTCCCAGCAATCACACAAATGACCTCCATCCTCCTGACTCAATGCCCAGGAAACTTCCTACAGCACTGCCTTTACAAGGAGAGAATTTTAAGATAAGGAGTCAAGATAAGTTTGCCGTAGTAAAAAAGAAAAAACTAACAAAACCTCCCAGGAGTTCCATCTTTTTTTGACAAGAAACTTTTTTAACTGAAGTAGAACAAGCAGCTCCAGAGCGTGTGTCTTTGCAAAGGCTCACCCAGCAGTTTCCAGGCAGGATCATGGAACAGGAGGTGAAATTCCACAGTCGGTCCCATGAAAAGGCTCAGAGCAGTTAATCAGCTCGCCTTGACCTTCACATTTATGAGTCTGCAAGAAGCTGCTGCCTTGGCTTGCAGCTGCAGCATCTGTCCCCCCAGGCAGTGCAGTGCCAGCCCTGCCTCCCACAAGGACACACTTCCAGAGGAACTGGGGCCACGTGGAACCAGGGGCTGGAAAAGCACCCACAGCCACAGCACCAACCCTGAGCTGCTTTCTGCTGCCAATCCCTGATCTGACCTCTCTCACAAATCTCTCCAGGGTGAGGGGAACAAGCTGGGGAAGCACCTCACCACCCCAGTGTGGTTATCACGGAGAGACTTCCAAAAGAGCCTCAGGGATGGCACATCCCAGCAGCGAGGGGCTGGAAGGAGCCCCACTCCCAGCCCTTACGGCCCACGTGGCAAAGAGCAGATCAGATGCTGTAACTCACCTTCTGCAGAGCTCAGACCTGCTGGGGCCCCACAGTGCCACAATAAACCCTCTCATGGGAGCTCCCACTGATGAGAGTTTGGTTATTTGTTGGGTTTTGTCCTCATTTTGATGGCACATGGTACCACTGAATGCTGGGGAGATGATCTGCCCCCCACACCAGATCACCCACTGCATTACCCCAGTGCAGACCCCGACAAGATCTGCCCCGAAAGCCAACCCAGGGGCTGGGGCTGCCCCTGACCCTGCTGCCCACAGGGAGCCAGTGCCCTGGGGCCACCACCTCCTGCAGGACACCCTGCCAAAGCCCTTCCCAGCAGTGCCTCTGACAGCAGCTCGGGGAAACTCGATCTTTTTGCCATTTCAACTGTATGTGAAGCAGTAAGGCTGCCCACATTCATTTCTAAATATAAGGGAAACCTGACAGTGGGAGCACAATTTGGCTCCTCCATTCACCAGGAGCCCGAGGGCAGCGAGAACAGATGGGGTTTGACAAGGGACACGTTTGGTGGGACACTGACTTCACACACAGCCCAAACACCGCGGGTGATGGAGATTTAATCCCCCCGCTATTTGGAGAAATTACAGAGTCACGGGTTTGCAAAGCACCCCAAGGATGGACAGCATGGGGGATTCCCAAAAGGGGTCCCACTGCGGCCCTGCCCTGCCTCCTGCAGGGCTTCCAGCACCACCAACCAAGGAGGACACACCAGGACAAAGGAAAAGCACCAGCCATTTATCACCTCCTTATGAGACACAGGGCGACAGCTGAGTGGCTTCAGTGGCTGAGGAGATAATGGATGCTGGATGCTGTCCAAGACTGAATCCCTCCCAGCTCCACAAAGCTCTTCACCCAGGCCAGTTCTGCCATCTGTCACGGCCTGGGGACTGACACCAGCACTGACACCTCTGTCACAGGAGAACAGGGTGCATGGCCCTGCCACCTCTGGGATGTGGTGACAAGATCACCCGAGGGCCTGGCCGTGGAGCTGCCAGGACCTGCCCCAGGGCACCAAGGCACCCTGTTTCTATCAGCAGTGCTCCTGGACCAGTGCTGTCCCCGTGCCCACCGTGTGTGCCACAGGACAGCGCTGGCTCCCCACAGCCCTGGGACCTCAGGGCACCTTCACATGCCCAGCCTGTGCCAAACTCCTCCAACAACAGCACCAGTCACCAGTCTCGTGACTGCAGAGAACTCTCCAAATGCCACAGCAAAGAGGTCCCCTGCACCCGGATTTGGAGCTGTGCCCTTCTGCTCCAGTCACCTGGATTACCTGTTTTCCACAGGTTAACACTGACAGCTCTAACAGCCACCGTGGGCCTTGCTCACTGAACACCTTCATGCTGGGAAAAGAAGGAGGAATTGGAATAGGAGAAGGAAAAGATGTTGAAACACAACAGATGAAAACCTTTTGCAAGAAGAAATACGCAGAGAAAAGAGCACTGGAGTTTTGTGAGGACAAGGAAAAGAAATCACGTAGAAAAGGAAAGATAGTAAGTGAAGGGAAAGAAGATGACCAGAAATGCCACGCATTTTCCCCAGGGAGTAACAAACACATTCAACGGGGCACTAACAAATTAGTAAACATTTGTTTCCCTATTCCTACAGCTATTTCAGCTGTGGTTTTGCCAAGTCTGAGCAGCATCACACAGGACTGGCCAAGGGCAGCTGCCCTGCTCCAGCCCAGCTCTGTTCTCTCTTCCACTGTTGTGTCTCAGGCATGTCTGGACAGATGGACAGACTGGTCCAGGGCTGCAGCTGTGGGATGGAAATGCTGCCTATGAGGTCAGGGCTGAAATGGTTCTGTCCCCCCAGCCAGAGCAAACCTCTGCTGTGCCAAGACACAGCAGCTTGGAGCATCCAGAACTGCAGGATCCAATGCCTCAGTCACAAGGCAAACGTGCTGGAAAACTCTGGGCAAGACTGAGATAAACAGGCACAAGAAAGTCCGTGGGGAAAGCAAGAACAGCCACAGGCAGCATGCAACATCCAGGAGAAAATCATTTCAAAGGGTGCTGGGAACAAGGGAGCAGGTAGGAGATGAAAAGCCAAAGCTTTCAGCTATTTCTTTGAAGATTTTGGTTTGCATTTGGGAAGGCTGCCAGAACTCAGAGCATGTGTGAGCAGGACAGCAGTGACTGCAGCAGGACCTGGTGAAGGCAGTCCTACCTTCAGACCTGCCCACGGGGCCCAGGACCTCCCAGCCTCGGCCAGCACGTGGTCCTAAGGGCACAGTCACCACCATTAGGGACCCCAGCAAGAGCCTCTGCTCCTGCTTGGCAAGGCTTCAAAGCAGCACAGTCTACTTTCCTCCACCAAAACTCCCGAGACTCACCCATCAACACACTGAGCAGCTTCTGAACCCTGGAGTTCACCCCGACGATGCGGTAGAGCCCCTGCTCGTTGATCCCTGGGGAGAACAAAGAACTCGTTAGCAGGAGGCCACAAGAGCTGCTAAGATTTCTTTCACTGCTTTGCCTTCTCAAATAGCAAAGCAAACCTTCTCACCTATCAAATACAAAGCCATAGAAGATGGTAAAATTTGGGGTTGATATCAAGGTTTCATGTATCCTGTCCTATTTCATTAGAAGTGTTACCCCCAGTTAGCTCAGGAACAAGGATCTAAGGACACCTTTCCTCCTGCCCACAGCCATGGCAGCCCCACGCAGGATCTGCATTTAACCAGGACAATCTGGGAAAATTTTACTGTGTCAAGTTCTTCAGGCTGAGCCTTTTGCATCTGACCTCCCCCTGCGGGGCTGGGACAATCCCACCTGTGCACAAGGAGACTCACAAGAGGTTTTGGGGACAGAATCCCACATGAGAGGACGTGCTTGGCAGCATTCCTGCAGGAAGGATGCTGAAGAGAACACCCCCTTGGGTCCTGTCCCCCCTTTGCACACGCAGGGTGTCAGTGGCTAACCCTGCCCCATGTCTGTGAGTCCCTGCTGGCCCAGCCGTGGGGCAAACGCTTCTCACATCGGCCCCAGCACGTTATGGGCTCATCTGACGTGGGTCTGAGGGCTCATGAATCATTCTGCCCGTGAAAAGGGCAGGAAAGCAGCTGCTTCACTGCCAACAGCTGCCCCAGAGCAAGCCCAGCCCCAGGCTGCCCTACCTCTTGTTTCCACAGCGTGGATGCACTTCTTGATGATGCTGAAGCCGATGCTGTCCAGCTGGGCAGCTGCAGGGGAAGGGCAGAGAGCAGGGTGAACAGCTGGCAGGGCAGGCCCTCTCAGGGAGCTCCAGGCTCCTCCTGAATCCCTGCCACCCCAGCAATGCACCAGCGCCCAGACCAGCAGGAGATAAATGAGGGTAAAAAACCACAAGTAGAGCAGTTGGTACCAGCTGTAACCCAGGCAAACACAGACACTGATCATCATTCCAGCCTCCACATCCCTCTGAAGCAGGCCTGCCCTGGGCTCTGCCAGGCATCTACCACTGCAGATGGACAAAATTAATTTAGGATCAAGGTGAGATAACCCAAATTTGTCTGGAAAGCTGACAGTGGGTTGCTTGGAAAGAAATGAAATTGGACATTTTGACACAACAAATCCCTGAAAATGGCACACAAGGTGTCTTGCCTCTGCCCGAGAGTGAGAGCTAAAACATGAGAGTTAATGGGATGTACAGCTCAATTCACCCGTGCCAATGCAGGTTTTCACTTCCAGGTTCAAGGAATTACTAATACAGGGACCCCAACACCTGCTGGAAAAATTCACCCCACAGAGAGCTTGCCACCACTGCCTGGAAAACACAGCCCAGAGCCAGATATCTGCCATGGAAAATTAGCTCCTCCCTAGAGAAAGGTTTGGAAAACCTTCCACAGGGCAGGAGCCCCTCAGGGAAGGGTGGGCAAAGCCACCCTGGGCTCCAGGCCCCAGGGAACGCCGTGATGTAGGAGACACAGCTGGCTCAGGGCAGGGAGCAGAGCCCAGGCTGGCAGTGCCCTCTGCAAGGCACGTGCAGCTTCCCTCCTTTGCATTCCCCTGCTCCGTGGGCAGTGCCAGCTCACAGCCCCTTCCTAATCCCCTGCTTTGAGTCCTCTGCTGGGGATGGCCTTTGTCTGGTGAATGGCACAAGGACCCACAGCAGTGCAAAGGAAAACAGCTCCATTATGTTTTTCTGGGCAAGCAGGCTGGAGTGCTGAGCCAACACAAGCACACGAGCTGCAGGATGCCTGTGCCACAGGACGTGAGGACAATCCAGAAGCTGCAGGGCCCTTTGCTGGGCACCCTCAGGGCTCCCAGCATGGATTCAGCACAAACCCAACGTGCCATCAGCAGCAGGGCACAGCTGCCATTCCCAGGCCACTGATAAACACGAGGGTACCCGAGAACTCAAAACCATGGTGTCGAAACTCTTTGCTGCAGCAAACCCAGTTCAGCAGGTCTGATCAGCCTTGGCTTGGCACTGGTGTGACCCTGACCTGTGGGCAGCCCTGTGTGGTGCTGATCACTGCTTCAGGCTCTCTGCCAACCCATCCCACAGACCAGCAGTTTTCCCTTAGCCTGTTTGGCATGTTTGGGCCCCCCAGGCCAGGTTGGACAGGGCTTGGAGCAACCTGGGACAGTGGAAGATGTCCCTGCCCACAGCACAGGGTGGAACTGGATCAGCTTTAAGGTCCTTTCCAGCCCAACCCATTCCATGATTCCATGATTCCACAACCCTGCAGGGCCCACCACCCCACGGCCAGGCAGGCTGGGATCCCACCTCCCTGCAGCAGGAGGAGGAGACCCAGCAGTGCCTCTGGATGAAGTGACCCGGCACAGTCCCCCTAAGCAGATGAACAAGCTCTTCCACTCACTGTCAAGCTCTGCATCAGGAAAGGTTGGGGATTTATTTGCAGTAGTTACACCCAGAAACAATATCTGATTAAATTTCCAAAGTGCCTTTATTCATCCTTAAAGTTAAGTTTAATGAGCATTGTAAAAGCTTGATTTCCCCTCTCTCAGAGCATCTGCTCTTCATCTCAGTCATTTACCAAATGATTCAGTTCAGCCGTGGTCCAGATCAAAGGCAGATCTGGATCTGCTGCTGTCCAGATGGCAGATCCATGGAATCATCTGGGTTTGAAAAGCCTCCCAAGGCCACCAAGTCCAACCATTCCCTCAGCACTGCCAAGGCCACCACTAACCTCTGTCCCCAAGAGCCACATCCACATGGCTGTGAAACCCCTGCAGGAATGGGGACCCCCCTGCCCTGGGAAGATGTGCCAAGGCTGGACAGCCCCTCCAGAGAATAAATTCTCCCTGAGTTCCAGTCTGAAGTGTCCCTGCCTGCCTGGCTGAGGCCAAGTGGAAGAGCCTCCCTTGAGGCCCTCCCTGCTCAGGGCAGGGTGTGAGGCTCAGCTCCAGCAGCAGCACCCAGAGCCCAAGGAGCTGCATGGCCAGCCTGGGATCCATCCAGGAACATCTCACGTCAGCACAGGTGACACACACCACCTGGACAGCAGCTGCTGCCCACACCCCACACTCATCTGACCTTCAGCAGCATCACATTCCAAGTGCTGCTGAATTGCTCTCATCCTGTTCTATTTTTGCCTGGCAGATTATTTCTATTGAATCCATTAATTCCCTCCCTTTACAACACTGATGTGACATATCAGGGTAAAGGGAAGGGGGCAGGGGGCTGGATCAGCCCTGTCAGCCTGCCTGGCTCCAGCTGTGTGGCAGGGCACTGCAAGGTCAAAGCAGCTCCTCTGCCTCCCCAGCACACGTTCCTGTGCCATGCAACCATCTCTGGCTTGAATTCTTCCAAAGGCATTTTGGAAATAAGAACCACAGGGGAGGGGGGAAATCATGAAGCAGAGACTAGAGGAATGAGCTTTCAAGTCTTACCAGAAATGAGTTTTCAGGGCTCTAACTACCAGTGAGCTGCCAAGATTGGGGGTCAGATTAGGTTAGAGAAATGGAAGAAGTTTTTTACAATGAGGGTGGGCAGGCCCTGGCACAGGGTGCCCAGAGCAGCTGTGGCTGCCCCTGGATCCCTGGCAGTGCCCAAGGCCAAGCTGGACACTGGGGCTGAGAGCACCTGGGACAGTGGAAGGTGTCCCTGCCACAGCAGGGAGGGGAAGAGAGGAGCTTTAAAGCCCTTCCAACCCAAAATATTCTGTGATTCCATGACTGTGATTGCTGGGAAGGGCCAGAGCACCCAGACAAGGGCACAGCAGACAGGGCAGCCAAAGGGACTCAAGAGTGGATGTGGAAGATGGAGAGTGAAATGGTGGGAAGGAAGGGAAAGGAGGAATTTTGTGCTGTTCCATGCAATAAGCACAAATGGCCTGGAGGATTTGTTTCCATGGAGCAGGGCAAGTCCTTCTGGTTAGCAAACTAGAGCATCTAAATTCCCCTGGCTCTCATGGTTCAGTGACACCACTCAGCCCCTTTGCTCGGCCTCCTCCCCCTCCACAGCACACCAAGATAAATCACCCACAGGCCCACGGCCATCTGGCCACACAGCAGGACACAAAACCCAGTAGCTCTGCAAAATTAGTGTCCTGAAAGTGCCACCACAGCACGGGGAGGCACTCCCAGCCTCCCAGAAGTGCAGGCAGGAAGCAGAGGCAGAGAGAGCCCCAGGGTCAGGAACTGCATCCGGACCCTCTCCATCACCACACCCGCTGCGGGTCCTTATAGGAAGATCCTGGATCAAGGGCTGCTGGCAGCCAGCCAGCTGCTGAATCGATTTTAGAGAGCCTGGGGAGGCAGGCAGAGCTCTGAAGCAGGGATTTAATGAGGCTGAAGCAGCCAGCCCTCTGCCCACACCAGCAGCAGCCCCAGCCCAAGCAGAGGGTTCAGAAGCATCCTCAGCCAGGGGTCCCAGCCTGCTCCCAGAACCAGGAAGGACAGACAGGGACAGACAGGGAGGATCATTCTCCTTCATAAGAGAGACCATCAAAATGGTCTCCTGAGCCAAAGCAGCAGGTACAGAGCTGGCAGGGCTGTGTGCAGGGATATGGAGCACTGACAGCTCATGGCTGGGCAGCACGGAGCTGAGCCACCCCTGGGCTCTGCACCCCACAAACTCCTTTTGCCCTCTGGGAAAAAGAGACCAGAGGAGCTGCTCTAGCAGGGCTCCTACCCCAGGGGCACTGGCCATGCTGCCCTTCCCAGCTCAGCACAGCACTGAGCTCTGCTGGGATCAGCTGGGAGCCAGAGCCAGGTGATGCACACAGGAAAAGATGGATGTGCAGCCACTGCCAGAGGATCAAAGGGAAGCAGAAACCACAGAGGGGGAAGAGACTGCTTTGTGCAAGGGCTGAAATGGGTGTGAGGAACATTAGCTGCAAATTATACCAATTACTGAGAGAAAAATGCTCGGGCTGCAGATGAAAATGTCGTGTCTGAGGCAGCACCAAAATGAACCAAGCACTGAGCACCAAGCCAGGCCTGGCCCTGCCTGACCCTGGCTCTGAGGGAAGGAGGGAAGGGACTGGGGCTGGACTATTGCAATTATGGCAAATCCAACCTGCTGGGAAATGGCTCAATTAGGGGTTTTAAAACACAGGACATAAGAGGCAGAACCAGGTGCAACTGCTCCTCTAGGAAGAAAAACAAGTGCTTTCTTGACCCAGGGCTTTGATTGCCTGAACTACAATAAAAAGATTTTTTTTAAGGGCTCTTGTTGACAATCTTCACAAGGCAGGACCTCCTCACTCCTATATTTCTATTCCAATTCCCCTTTGGAAAGACACATTCACCCTGCACATTCTGGCTCAGAGAGAAGAGCTGCTTGGTCCCAGGTGCCACCTGATCCCTCTGCTGAACTTCAGGAGCAGGTCCTGAGGCCACCAGACCCCTGCAGTGCCACTGGGGTGGGGACACGGCGTGGGGCAGGAGGGGACACACCCTGAGGGATGCAGGGACTGCCTGGCACTGCCCTCCACAGCCCCAGGTCCCACCAGCAGGTTTCTGCCCCTGGTCCCTGCTGGGTGCCACACTCAGCTCTCCCTGGGCCACCCTGGGGTCCCCACACTGAGCCTGTCACCCCCCAGCCCCGGGGAGCCCAGCACAGCCCAGTGTCACCAGCATCTCCTGCTGACCCTTCCCACAGCTCAGCCACCTCTCAGGGGTCAGGCTTGAGAAGAAATACTCACTGCCTTCGCTCTGGCTGTCCTTGTTCGAGTTGTACACCTGGAAAACACAAGCAGAAAGCCTTATGAAACCCTGGCTCCAGCTGGGACTGCTGGCACAGCTGGTGCCACCACAGTGTGTCTGCTGCCAGGACCTCCCCCAGCAGCCAGGTCCCCAAACACCACCATGACCTCCTGCACACAAATGCTGGGCTGGCCCAGCTCTGCAGTTATCTTAAAATACTGACTAGGACAGCTCTTAAAATGAACGAATGGGATGGACCAGGTGAAAACAGAAATTAGAGGTTTCTAAACAAAGTGGAGGTGGGGTTGGACTAGATGACTTTTAAAGGTCCCTTCCAACTCCAACTGTTCCATGATTCTACGACTCCTCTCCTGAAAGACACATCCAGAGGGTATAAATTAGAGCAAAGCAGCCAATTCCCTTCTGGGCATTACAGGAACTCTGGTAGGTGCAGCTGGGGCAGGGAGCAGGTACCACCCTCCTCAGGTACAGCCTGAGCAAACGAGTCAGGCAAAGAGGAGGAGAGGAAAAGAAATGTCATTACTTTAGAGAGCACAAGAATGCAGCAGGATGAGGCACTGAATGCATCCAGCACTGCTCACAGCAGAGCCACCTCCAGGACTCCATCCCAGGCCTCTCCAGCCTCCTAACATCCACCCTCCTCCTCCTCCCACCCCAATCACCACTCCACCCACCACAGCTTGGCTGCTGCAGAGTAAAGTGACATTTCAGTGGATACAATAAAAAGGGAAAACACTGGCAGCAGGTTTTAATCACGACGTGAGGGCACTTTAAAAGCCCAGGATAATACCAACAGCAGCTGTAAGAAGATCAGCCCTCAGACAGGTTGAGCACTGAAGGATTACTCTAAACCATTTTAACCTCTTGAGCTGGAGAAGTACAGAGTGCCACCAGGAACACACACACACATCCCAGCAGCATCCTGGCTGTGATGAGGGGGCACTGTCCACTGAGCAGGACACAAGGCTGGTGAAGCTGTGGGGAACAGGGCTGGGAGCCCTGGCAAGGGGAGCTGCCTGCATCACATGCTGCCTCCCGAAATAGCCAGCGGGCAGGGCGAGCTTCCAAAGGCCATGTTGATAGCAACACCCCCAGCAACGGGGGAGAGGCTGCAGGCAGGGCTCTGCTGCAGGCACCCCAGCCCCTGGCAGCAGCAGGGAGCCCGGGGTGCTCTGGGCTCTCCCAGGAGCTCCAGCTGCAGGGCGAGGCTGCGAAGCTGCCTGGGATGCTCTCAGAGGATCAGAGCCAGGCACAGCAGAGCTCACCGTGCTGCCCCAACAGCCACCACCAGCAAAAACACCCAGCAAGGCTGTGTGTCACAGGGCATGCCACCAGCAGGGCACATAAACACATCCCTTCCCTGGAGGTCACCCAAACACAGGCCATTGCTGAGCTGGGCACCAGCCGGAGCACGGCAGGACACCTTGGATCAGCTCCACCACCCAGCACGTGCTCAGGGGAGCACAGATGCAATGGAGCAGCTCAAAACCGGGCTGTGGGCAGGGACTGAGGAGCACCTTCCCTCTCCCCCTCCCAGGACACCTGGCTACGTAGCACGAGACCAAGCAGAGATGATTGTTTGCAGAGAAAATCCATCAGGCACATCTGGCAAGCGGGGGATGATTCAGCAGCAAAACCAGCTGCAGTCAGCAAGTGAGTTTTCCTCTAGGAACAGTGTTTATATCAAGAAAATTAAATAAGTGGAAAGAGGGAAGGAAAACACCCGCAGGCTCCCCTGACAGCAGTGCCCCACCACAGTCAGCCTTCCCTAAGGAAGTTCCCCTCAAATTCAGTGCCTCTGTTGAGGGCTCACTGCAGGGACTGGGGGCTCAGCTGTTACTTGAGAGACACACAGCCCTTTCTTGGGATCACACACAGATTTCGTGCCCTGGCTCACCCCCATGCACAGGTAACACTAAACACAGCACAGGATCAGGCTTGGAGCACCCTGGGATAGTGGGAGGTGTCCCTGCCCATGGCAGGGGTGGAATGGGATGAGTTGTAAGGTCCTTCCAACCTAAACCATTCCAACTCCTAGCACAGCAGCTCCAGGGACATCCTCTGCCTGCACATTTGCTCTTCCAGTCTGGATCCATGAAACAACAGAGCTTGTTATCACCAGAGACTGCTCTTAAAACAAGGGAAAAGGGCAGACAAGGAAACACAATATGCCTTTGCCATTAATTGCAAAGTGTGCACACAGCAAGAGGGAAGTTTCACAAAAAGGTCAACAGCAACCATAAAACACAGAGACACTGCCACCCTACACCCATGTCATCAAGGACAAACCTTTTATCCATTGTCTCTGTTAATCCACTAACACAACTCTACACCAGCAGGGTTTCAGCCAAGCCCCAAGTCTGCAATATCCCTTCCTTTTCCAAGAAACACTTCTCCTGTTCTGCCTCAATTCTTTTAGAGGGAGATTTCTCTGGGTAAGAGAAGGTTTCCAAGTTTGAGGAAAGGGCTGCTGTGTAAGAGGTCCAGGAGTGAGGCTCCTGCAGTGGCCCAAGGGTCACCCCTGCTCTGCTGGCAACCCCTTGGGCTCGTGCCTTGGCAAAGGCTGCTCCTGCCCAGCCTGGCCCCAGGGATGATATATTGATGTTCCACTCCTTCCAGAACAGCTCTGGTAACAGGCAGGGCTTAAAGCAGAAGATGCATTTGAAGATTAAGCCTCGTACACATGAGTCAGTCCATGGACCAACCTCCCCCTGGGAAAGGGGGCAGAATTTTACAGAGGTTCTTGCTATTCCCCACACCACACACATGGCACCGAGCCCAGGGCTGTCCCAGGAGAGATGGGCTGGGAGCACCTTGGAAAAGCTCTTCTGAACCCTCTTCCACACAACTGCCAAGTGCTGGATTTCATTTCCCCCATCCTCACCCTCTCTCTCAGCTGTATTTGCACCACTGCCATGCCCAGGCTGGCTGGGGCTGCCTCACAGCACAGCCCTGGGCCAGGGGACACCAAGGGACAGCACAGTGCCACCTCCCAGGGTGACAGCAGCCAGCACACAGCCCGTGGGAGCTGTGCCCAGGACAGGGCAGGCAGGAGCTCTGCAGACACACACATCACCCAGACAATAAAACACCATTAAATGAGGGTATTTTGATGCCCACACGCTGTTTTTCCTGTTGTTAACACGCTCTGGAGAAAACAGCTCTAAACCTGAGAGCTTCTCGTGAAATAAAAAAGCTTCTTTCACTTTCCAGTATTAGTCACTGACAAAGGGTGGGAAATCAGAGGGAAGAAACGTTGCTGGAGGTGAAGGGCCTGTGGCCCATGGACACGTGTGGGAACAGGCTGGGTTATAAAACTCCCAAAATTGGGATAGTGACTAACGTGGAGACAAATCCCTGCCCTGCAGCACTGCCATGCTTTTACATCTCGCTCTCACTAATTATTCCCATTTGATTGTATTTCCAGAGCCAAAATATCCTCCCAGGCAGCTTCAGAAGTGATGTGTATAGAAAAAATATACATTGAGACAGTACAAAACTTACAGACCTTGATGTCTTGTATTTAGTTTACTGAACTCCTACTGTAGATGGTAAAATATCCTGAACAAAACCAGATTGTATAATTTTTTTAGCAGAAGCTACTGCTGCTTCATTCCTGCAGGATAATTGCTGCCTGGAAGCTTAAAGAAGGCCTTTACAAGCTATTATTGAAAAATTCCAAGATGCATCTGTAAGTAATCCAGAAAGATAAATTTTATGAGAGCAGTTACAACTCATGACTACTTTGACACTTGCACTATGCTCAGTTATGAACTTGATATTTAAGATAATTCATCAAAGAACCAGTTATTTCCTTTGCTGAGACATTTCACCAAATACATGCTTTGTTTTGCAGAGGAAATGGTTTTATAGGGATGATTAAGAGCTCTGAGATGTTCGAGGGTGTGGTGGAGGAGCACACAGCCCAGGAGGCAGCTCCCTGCTCCCCTGGAGCCCAGGGATGAGCTGGGGGTCACTCACCCACACCCAGTGTTGGCTCCTGGATCCATGTCCCCAGCTGCTCATGGACCAAAGCCTGGGCAGGAGCAGCAATGCAGGTGCTGCACCTGCTCCTGCCCCCTCTAAATTCAGTCCTGCCACTGCCACACACCCCACACTGGAGCTGTGGACCGTGCAAACGTCAGCTGTGGATTTTCCTCATCAGAAATCCTTTGAAAGACACCATCTGGAGCCTCAAATACTCCTACAGCCACTGACAGCCACCATCTGGAGCCTAAACCACCTCCACAAGCACTGATGGCCATCGCTGAGAGCCTAAAATACTCCTACAGCCACCAAGAGCCACCATCCAGAGCCTAAAACATCCCTCAGACACCATCCAGAGCCTGAAACACCCCTCAGACACCACCAAGAGCCTAAAATAGTCCTACAGCCACTCTTCACCATCTGATGCCCTTTCTGCTTGTGCACAGATAAATCAGGAAGAATTTAACCCATCAGTTTTCCAACCTGACCCTAAACAAACTGCACACGTGATGTGCAGAGAGCAAACACCCATGAGTGGTTTGGGATGACACTGGGCTGTGGGAAAAGAAAAGGAAAAGGAAGTATCTGGGGGTTGGAAGGGGAACTCCAAAAAGATGATGTTGAGTAATTTTATTTCCTCATTTCAGGGGTCAGGCTCATTAACCCATGGTGCTCATTAACCTCACAAGACATGGGCTATGATTTCCTATAGCACTTGCTTCATTTTAAGTTTCATTCACTTTCCTTTAAAGTTTAAAAACCAAAATGACCCAACCTAAGCTGCATCCCTTGGAGGCTGCACAGTGATCAGCACAGTTCCCAAAATCCCACAAATTCCAACACTGGCGTGAAATTCTGCCCAGTGGCTAAAATCTAGAGGAAAGGATTGCCCAGCTGCTCAGGGGGAAGAGGGATTTAAGGAAAGCACTGAAGACCAGGAGCCAGCAGCCCTGGTTTGCAGAGAGGGGGATCTCCATCAAAGGAGGATTTCAACTCCATGCCCTGGCCTGGAAGATTCCACCTCACTC